AGCCAATAACTGAACCAATTTACTAGTAATTTACTATTTGATATGCGTATCAAGTGCTTGATGTAAACTAGACCTATGATGGATTCACACGAGTACGAGTGTGAATGCATCATAAGCTAAGACGAATGCGGCAACTTTACGTGCGATGTATTCGTTGTTCTCCGCACATGCCACAAACAATATTTTTTGTAATGCCTATCGCGAAAGTTCGATTTGAGATGTTTTTTACTCATGTACTTATCTCTTGATTTTTTCGGTAATAAAGTCTTCGTGGCAGATTCAGCTGCTTCTATAAGTTCTAACGGCGTGGACGGTCTTGAATACTCGTTTCTTTTATCCATTTAATCCTTCTTGAATAGTGAAGGTTATAACAAATTGACGTTTTGTCTCGTGTGAATTTCGTTACGTTCAAGTTTGTTATGTCAATCGAGAAGAAAGATGATTTTTTCCGCACTAGTGCGGTAAAGTGTAACTATAGTAACACATTACCGCACTAGTGCGGTAAAGTAAATAATAAAAATGCTTTTCTCGTATTAGTGTGGTAAAGTAAGGCATACATTGAATCGTTGAGAAATAAGCCATTTTCCGCACGCTAAACAGCAATCGAAAATCGAACTTTCGCAACAGGCGTTGCAAAACATATTTTATACCAAAGTTAAAAGATTTCGAAGGAAAAAAGTTGATAATTTTGAATTTAATTAAATCAAGATCAGGTTTTGAAGCTCACAGAATCCATTTTTTTTTAATAAAATCATTTTACTTTTTCATATAAATCGATTTCCTCGCGATATCCGACATAAAAAATTATAAGTGTGGAAATGGTCAAAAGAAAATAGTTTATGAAGGTATCTTGTACTATGTGACATACTTAAATATCTCGTAAAATATTTATTTTTTCAATAAGATTACCTCAAATAGTTTTACGCACAAAATAATGAGAGAAATTAATTCGTGTAAAGAAAACACATAGTTGTGGAGAAAATATCCCGCAATTCATAATAATAAATTAATTAATTAACATCTGCTTATACTGCTATATAAATAGTGGGCTTCTACTGCTTTTATTTCTCGCTACCAGATGTCACAACTACGGATGTCAGATCCCAATATATTATTCTATATATTATTCTCTAATGACATTTAAAAATGAATGAATTAAAGTCTAATCAATGCAATAATCAAACAGAAATTCGATTTGGCAAAATTGCTGTTTCAATATCAATAGTCAGTGTTTGGATAGTATTATTGATGAATAAAGTAAATTATATGGTTTACAAAAACATTAACGGGATAGAAGAGTATTGCAATTTCCTTCAAAACTCATTAGCGAAACTTCTTGAATATATTGCTTTGAATATATGACACAATATCACATGAAAAATATAACCATCGAAGTGCACTCACTTATAATAATTGTTGAGTATGACTCATGGTCAGAGAAATTATTTTTTGAATATCTATTTTTCCGGACAATTGGATAATTGGAAGTTAGGCAGAAAAGGCGTTTAGATCTCTTAATGAATTTTTTTATGAAAATATGTTAAAATTTAGGGGGCGGCGGGTGGCTGTGCATGCTGCGTCACCGAAACTCGCCTGAGGCGAAGAATAGGTGGAACGCGGGTTCGAGTCCACCCAGACCCCGGTAGGAAAAAATATATAGACATCTAGGGTCCACATTCATGGAACCAGATGAGCTGTATAATCAAAGGATAAACAACCTGTGCAATCTGGCAAAAAAACGCTGGATTGGGTTTACAGGGATAATCATCAAGCACAGCGGGGGTCGCAAAGAAACTTTTAGATCTAGGTGACCTTTAGGGACTTATATATAGTTCCACCCATTCTTCCTACTACTACTACTATGTTAAAACTTAAGTTTTTGTCCATCAGTCAATAAGTTTCGAAGATATGAAAAATAAGAATAAAATGTTAGAGAAGTATTTCATATAATATATTACTTTGTAAATGTTTATGAATGTAGAAAATAATTTTAAGATTCATGTTAAAAAATGTATTGAAATGTCCAAGACAAAAGTAAAATATTTAACATATTTAAACATTTATCATTAATTCAGTCTATTTATTTATCGTAACATTTTTATAATTTCTTGAGAGATATTTATAAAATATTCGTAGTTAGATTTCAGTTCAATTTAATAATGTGAACGTTAAAAGTAAAAAATAAAACAATTTTCTCTTTGTCTTTCAAATACTTTACTTTCTGCAATTCCAGTACTTTTATATGCAGTATAACGAGAAGAATCGATTACATAAAAAGTGTGTGTATATTATATGTTTATATACAGGGTGTCCCATTTTAATTTATCACCCTTCTTAATTAGTAGTAATTTTGCAGGGAGCGGTAGAGAAAAATGTTTTAGATAAAAGTAGGGGTTATCTAATGGTGACCTTAAGCTTGACCTTGAAGTTAAATGGAGACCTTGAATGTCATTTAAAGTTCAATATAAAAATTTTAAATTAAAATTCAAGCCTTGTAACTCGGAAAATACTGAATGAAAAAATACTCTATTATAGTGTTTTGGAAAGCTCTTGAGATGAGCTATAAGAATATGTAATAAGAAATAGGAATTTTAATTTAAAATTTTTATACTGACCTCAAATTTGACCCCAAGATCAAGGTCACATTAGCAGATGATCCCCTCTGATATTTAAAAATGTCTTCCTTAACGAAATATAGCCAAAAATTGTGAAGTAAGTAGAGAAAGCAGAACAGATCAGAAGAAAATTTTACATAAAATTTTCAGGGTTGCCACAAAAAATGAATTTTGAAATTCCCTGACTTTTCCATGTTTTCTAGACGACAATGCGGAAATTTCCCATGACCACAATATGTATGAAAAGTAGGAATTAGGAAAGAATAGCTTATATTATTAGAAACAATACAAAATAATATGACGTAATCCTGAATTTAAACCAACAAAAAAATGCAGTGGGAAATAAGGAATAAGAGAAAAGTCAATTGAATAAAAACATTTAATAAAAGATATATTTTAATGTTTAATTTACGTTAAAAAAATAGAATTTAACTTTTTATAAACTTCTAAAAATATTAAAATTGAAATAAACTTTACATTGGTAAATACATATATCTAATTTCTACATTAAATTTCAAAATAGAAACAATTTTTAATATATATTTTAAAAATAATAGCTAATGCACGGACTAATATATAAAATGCAATATTAAGCATTTATGGGAAATGGTAAGCAAAATTTTAAATTCCAGGTTTATTTACATATTTCCCTGATTTTTCCAGATTTTCCCTGATTAATTTAAAATTCCACTTTTCCCGGTTTTCCCGCTTTTCCAGGTCTGTGACAACCCTGATTTTATATAAAATTTTATATAAAAAAAATCTTAAAATTGATGAATACGAGTAATTTGATAAAATTGTTCACAGAAAGAAGTGCATTTTAAATTTCAGGAGACAAATCTTTTCAATATCATTCAAGATAAAATTTCTGTTTTTTTCATATTCATTCAGTCATGAAATTATTGAAATTACTTTTCACACATTAAAATTTATTTTTCATTGATTCCGATTATTTTTTTTTACATATAATTCGAGTATGAGTCGAAAATTGTCATGTTTCATTTTAAAAATGGAAATTGAAAAATATTAATTCGATAAAGCGTACTAATTTACTCATAAATATATATATATATATATATATATATATATATATATATATACAGGGTGGTCCTGAACGTTCCAGCCAGACTTTGAGATTTTATAGGAAATTTAATTCTGAACAAAATATTTCCTATAAACATGGGTCGAAAAATGCTTCCTAAGAAGTTATCGCTCAAAAATCTCTGAAATCGTGATTATTTTACACATTTTTCCAAATATCATGAAAAAGAAAATGTATGTCTTTTAATAAAAATAATCAAAACAAAAGTTGTAGAAAAAATTATCTTTCAAATTAGATCAAAATGATTGTTGTATATTCCATAGATTTTAATATAACGTCTTTATTCATTTTCTACTATTACGTACTATTTTAGTTTAAAAAAATTTATTTTATTTTCATAAAAAAAAAATTTTTTATTTTTATTGTTATATCATTTTTTTTCAAGAAATTTATTAAGTCTCATTTTCTTTTCACTATTTGCTCTTCCTTTTAAAGGACCCCGCACCAAATCAGTGGAATTTGGTTTATGGCCAAATTTACTGAAACTGTAGTATGTTATTCTTTATGACCTCCTGATCAAAAGTCTTAATGGACATAAAGTCCAAAAATCAATGGTTTTCGAGATACTGCTTCAAAGGTTCGCTTTTTAGCTTTTTGCATGTAATCAAGTGAATATACGAAATCAGGTTTACGATGGTAATATTACGCGTAACTGTAAACATGTAAGTGCAGATGTGTATGCAACGGTAGTATTGAATTGACAAGTATACCGATTTTGAAAATCAGCTATTGTTTATAACCTATAAGCGATACAATTAGTGCCCGCTCTTAGCGCAATCCAGGACAAACCACGAGGAGGTGGCGAGCATACTGATCTCTGTGTGTGTATGTGTGCGTACGAGCGCGCTTAAGGGGATCCCGGATGATGTTTTTACCGACCGAATGCGTGAATATTTATTTTTTCATATAACTTTTTATTGACTATACTGATCAATAAATCCTTTTCCACGATTAAAGTACTTATAAAAACGAACCGCGCTAGCTATGTTTGCATATATAAATCATATAAAAATCAAAAATTACAGTTTTGTTATCAGCTGCTTTGTGTCAGTTCGTAATAATACTTATTTAATTAAAAATGTTCTGCAGTTTGTCTGTGCATGAAATATAGTATGCGCGGTAAGGATAATATGAAGAATTATTAGTAAACGATTAAAAGTGAGATTGCAAGTCTAATAAAAAAGTTATATATTAAAAACATTTTTACGCGTATGTGTTGTATACGTGCATATGTTTAGATATGTGTGGTGCTAACCTATCATGTGTATATATGTATACGTGCATATGTTTAGATATGTGTGGTGCTAACCCGTCGGAGTTCGGCCAACGTTCCGGCATCACCTTAATAGATCGTTAGTTATATCTTCTGTTGTGAGATTCAATTTATCCGTTCTTTATTCTATGTTATGGTTAAGGTCTTGCTGATGAGGTCTATGAGCAGCATCTTGAACAGATTGCAATAGTTGTGTGGAAGGATATTTAATACACTGTTGATGTCGTGCGTATCTCAAAAACCAAAGAACACTTGCAACATGCGCACATATCCCCAATGTTCGAGCACCTGCTTGACATGTACAATAGTAATCTGTTATTGGTTCTACGTTATCGTTATCATTATCATTCTCCATTATAAGAAATCCAGAGTTGGTGTTTAGTTGCATTACGGTAACGCGAATATACTCTAACTCTAATCAATGATGGCTTATCAAAGTGAACATCGATTTGAAACTCTTCCTGCTCGTCTCGTTGGAGTTTATCTTGAACGTAAGACGGAGCTAAATTCACTTGATAAGTGCCAACTGTCAATTCTCGTAAATAGTCTAAGGTAAGCAGGGGAAGTTACGGACATGCTGGTGATATTGAGACGATTCCAGTTAGCTCTCAAAACTCTTAGATTTTCTGCATCCACACGCTCTTGTACAACATTTACTTGCCTTGATTGTTGTAAAAGTTCTCTTGCTAACTCTGCATTTGCTTCTTCCATACGAATAGGCGGGTGGTATTTATTAATAATACCACCAGCAATTCGTAAAAAATCCCCAAGATTTTTTGTGTGAGTTATTTGAATGACGTTAGCAAAAAACTTAAAAATTGAATTTAAATGTCCGTTACGAGTTTCGACCACCCACCTTGTCTTTGTTACTATTCGAGATTCATTAGCTTGTTCCGTAGTAAACTGACGTTGATCTCGTTCAAGAAGACAAGGCATCCTATGTGTGATTCCCATAGCTTCAAGCAATGGTATCGCATCTCTGTAACCTCGATCTACTATGAAAATGTCCCCATTTTGAAACCATTCTCTTATTTCTTGCATATTTTGTTCGAATTCATTTCGAAGCATTTGAGCATCGTTATTTCTCGCATCTGAAAAATATGGTCCATAAATAGTTAATATATAACCATCGGGGGCAACAACCAAGGCAGGTTATCATTTACTCAAACCTGCCCACTGTACAATGTACATTATACAGAGTAAAATTGCCGTAACGTGCGGAAGTTTGAACTTTGTTGAATTCGTAAGTAAGAGCCATCATGTAAGCTATCGCCTTTTGGTTTTCTGTCTGTGGATTATATAATTCATTTGAAAAGTCCGTACAACGTCTCGCTATATAATCTTCTCTAGTTATCGCAGCGAATCCAATATTTGATGGAACGAATCGTTGCATTAGAGAGATTCGCACAGTAGCGACAGCTAAGCTCATATTTTGTCTGCTTTTATAATGAAAGATTACTTTTAAGAAGTCATCTGATAAATCTTGTCGTAGCTTACATAAGAATGTCATAAGATCTTTTTTTGTTATATTTTTGTTATAACCTGCTGAATAAAAAGAAACACAGTATGTGAATAAATCCTGGAACTGTTCCTTTGTGTAATAGGACTGATGCATTGGAACGCATCATCTTCGAAATCATTCTCATATTGATAAACTCTTGTATTGTTCACAGCATTTCGACATTCATCTAAAAACAATTGCATCTGATCTCCTCTTATTGAATATGGTCTATTGACAAACTGCAAAGCAGGTAAAAACAATGGTAGAATGAATCCTCGATCATCCAAATGCTGTGTACAAGACTTGGTTATTTCTGAAATATAAATATTTCTTTTAACAAATATATCGACCCTATATGCGATAGATAATCTGTGCGGATTAACTGCAGCATTACAAAATAAACAAATTCTATTTTGAGTTTGTCTTAAAACATTAAGTTTCAAGCAGTAAGGATCACGTTCGAGGGTGGTTATTTCCGCTATGATCAAACGATTGCAATTCAAATACAATCGTGTTCTATCTGTGACATCGAGAGGATTTTGTCCTAATGCATTACGTCTAGTGATAGCGATTTCTCGTTTGTGTGCATTTTCCTCGCCATCAATACGAGCCATCTGTTGACGACCGAATGCATGACCACAAATGTAACACTCTAAGCGATTCTGAGCCATCATTGATTTTATTATTTAATCAATTAAGAAAGTATCGAAGAATCGACTTAGGCCGAGGATTCTTTCATATAAGTCTAGAAAAAGCCCTTCTGAATATCAATACAAAAATAAAGATGTACTTTTTTTAATCAATAAGTTTTTGATTGAGTAATAAGAAGACTATGATAGCTATAATTATCAGATGAGTATAAAAGTGAAGCATTCCAAAGTTCTATCCGAATTATGATAGTCCGAACAGTTAAATCTCCTGATACGAATGAATGATTTTCCAAAGAAAAAGTCAATACAAAAGATTCTGCCTCTCATGTAAGAATGTTAATGCTTATGAGATGAATGTGAAACTCGTATGGAAGAAGCAAATGCAGAGTTAGCAAGAGAACTTTTACAAAAATCAAGGCAAGTAAATGTTGTACAAGGGCGTGTGGATGTAGAAAATCTAAGAGTTTTGAGAGCTAACTGGAATCGTCTCAATCACCAGTATGTCCGTAACTTCCCCCTGCTTACCTTAGACTATTTACGAGAATTGATAGTTGGCATTTATCAAGTGAATTTAGCTCCGTCTTACGTTCAAGATAAACTCCAATGAGACGAGCAGGAAGAGTTTCAAATCGATGTTCACTTTGATAAGCCATCATTGATTAGAGTTAGAGTATATTCGCGTTACCGTAATGCAACTAAACACCAACTCTGGATTTCTTATAATGGAGGATGATAATGATAACGATAACGTAGAATCAATAACAGATTACTATTGTACATGTCAAGCAGGTGCTCGAACACTGGGGACATGTGCGCATGTTGCAAGTGTTCTTTGGTTTTTGGGATACGCACGACACCAACAGTGTATTAAATATCCTTCAACACAACTATTGCAATCTGTTCAAGATGCTGCTCATAGACCTCATCAGCAAGACCCTAACCATAACATAGAATAAAGAACGGATAAAATGAATCTCACAACAGAAGATATAACTAATGATCTATTAAGCGCGCACGTACACGTACACACACACACACACACACACACACACACACACACACACACACACACACACACACACACACGCACACGCACACGCACACGCACGCACACGCACACACACACACACACGCACACGCACACGCACGCACACACGCACACGCACACACACACACGCACACACACACACACACACACACACGCACACACACGCACGCGCACGCGCACGCGCACGCGCACACACACGCACGCACACAGGGATCAGTATGCTCGCCACTTCCTCGTGGTTGGTTCTGGACCATAAAAAAAACTTACCTTTTTAAAAAAAGGTAAAAAAAGGCGACAAGTTTACGTGCTTATGTGAAAAAGTGTTATACAAAAAAACAGTGGTTTTAAATTACTATAAAAAAACTGCTCTAAAAAATAATGTTATTTTAATTTTATACAATATATTTTTATTGTACAAAATGATTAAATATTTCTAAAAAAAAAATGATATCAAAAATTGCGATAAATAAAAACCTTTATACTATAAAATCTTTTATTATGATTATTTTATTAAATAATTTTTTTCATAGAAATATTTTACAAACAACAATTAATTAAACATATGACTCATATATTGTAACGCAGCAAATTATATAAAAAGATCAAATGTGACGAACGATTTATGATTGACAATAATATCTTATTTGGATTAAAGAGTATGATAGAAAATATATATCTCATTTGATATTATTGTCAACCATATAATTACTCGTTATATTTGGTCTTTAGAAATATTTTAACCAAAAAAAATAGGAAAATTTTTGTTAAAAAAACTTGGCGCTGCTACATTTTTTTTTTAAATTACTGTAATGTATTTGTAAATCTTAAAATAAGAAATAATTAATTTACTATAATTATGTTAATGTAACATGCCAAAGAGACGGCCGACCTCCGATAGGTTAGCACCACAAGTATCTAAACATATGCACGTATACACATATACACATGATAGGTTAGCACCACACATGTCTAAACATATGCACGTATACAACACATATGCGTGAAAATTTTCTGCACCGTTTTCTTATTTATTAGGCTTTTAAACTTATATCTAAAAATATACTAATACTTCTTTATTCAATTTCTAGTCGGAATCTATCTTATTTTGTACGTACAAACAGCAGAACTTTTATATAAAACAATTATTTTTTTCGACCTGACGACGAAGTCGATAAAGAAATTTTAGTTTTTAAATTTTTTCTTGTTTTTAACATAAAACAGTAGGTTCCCACTTTGTTTCTGTACGTGTTTTTTGATTGTGGAAAAGCATTTATTATTTTATTAAACCAATAAAAAGGTTTCAATGCAGAAAAATCTATAATCATCTAATCGATAAAACAGACATCCGGCATCCCCTTAAAATATTCAATAATTAACTTAGAAAATATTTGCATATTAAAGCAGCGCCAAGTTTTTTTAACAAAAATTTTTCTATTTTTTTTGGTTAAAATATTTCTAAAGACCAAATATAACGAGTGATTATATGGTTGACAATAATATCAAATGAGATATATATTTTCTATCGTACTCTTTAATCCAAATAAGATATTATTGTCAATCATAAATCGATCGTCACATTTAATCTTTTTATATAATTTGCTGCGTTACAATATATGAGTCATATGTTTAATTAATTGTTGTTTGTAAAATATTTCTATGAAAAAAATTATTTAATAAAATAATCATAATAAAAGATTTTATAGTATAAAGGTTTTTATTTGTCGCAATTTTTGATATCATTTTTTTTTTAGAAATATTTAATCATTTTGTACAATAAAAATATATTGTTTAAAATTAAAATAACATTATTTTTTAGAGCAGTTTTTTTATAGTAATTTAAAACACTGTTTTTTTAGTAAAAAACACTGTTTTTTTGTATAACACTTTTTCACATAAGCATGTAAACTTGTCGCCTTTTTTTACCTTTTTTTAAAAAAAAGTAAGTTTTTTTTATGAATATCATTCTTTTTTGTAGTATATATTTATCTCTCCCCTCCCTATCTATCATACATTTATATCCTGCAGAAATACAAGTTATAGATAGATAGATAGATAGATAGATAGAGATAGATAGATATAGATAGATAGAGAGAGAGAGAGAGAGAGAGAGAGAGGAGAGAGAGAGAGAGGAGAGAGAGAGGAAGAGAAAGAGGAAGAGAGAAAGAGAGGAGGGAGAGAGGGAAGGGGAGGGAGAGAAGAGAGTGAGGGAGTGAAAAGAGAGGGGGGAGAGGGAGAGAGGGGAAAAGGGAGGGAGGGAGGAAGGGAGGGAGAGAGAGAGGGGGGTCTAATGTGCATATCGATAATTTTTACTATTTATTTTGTGAATTGTTTTTATTAAACCAAATACGAAAATAAATATTAAAAAAATTGAAATTATGTTTTCGAATGTATATATTTATTAATATAATTAACACAAATGTTACATGTAGAGTACACAATAATTGTAATTTCTCATTTATACATGTAACTTTTGTATTACAACATATGTTACATTGTAGTTGTATTGTTATTACATTCCAGATATCACTGTAACTCATCGATAAATATTGTAGGATATTGAAAATAATCTTTGGATAAGTTATTGTGTTATCTGGAATATAATTATTATAATATAACTACAATGTAACATATGTTATATTACAAAATATTACTTTTACGAGTGGAAAATTACAGCTAATATGTACTTAACATGTAACATTTACGTTAGAGACATAGCAGTTATGTTATATAGCAGCTATATAAATAAATGTAATTATATTATAATAAATAAGTAATTATATTATAAAAGAAATTATATTATAATAAATGTAATTATATATCAATATACACATTAGTATATATCAATGATATACACATTAGACCTCTTTCTCTCTCTCTCTCTCTCCTTCTCTCTCCCCTCCCTCTATAAAAGTATTCTTTTCTGAATTTATCAGCTAAATTTATATTTTCTCTTGGTCGTTTAATTACAACTAATATGTACTTAATATGTAACATGACATTGTAGGAAATAATATAACCTACATACATGTTACATATATGTCATCAAACCTGACACACAACCTAACATCATGGATCATGGAGCGACATTAATACAATCTAGCGTTGACTGCTCGAACAGTACATTTTCGCACACATGCGCATTGAGAAGGTCGACGACGATGACCAAAATTTTCTATTTTATTATAAAGTCAAACTTTACATCGTAATATCTCTGTATATATAATACGTAGAGCAAAAATAAAGACAGTTTTCTAATACAATTTAAACCCAAGCTATCGATTAAGTCTATCGAGAATACGATCAGTTCAATCCTTCTATGAGATCTGATAATATAAGATGCTGTCAAAAGTCCGACTCGCGTAAAGATACACGGAAGTACCTCGCTACGATTTTGTTACTTGTCGCGAGACACTACCGTGTCTCTTGATTGCGCTAAGAGCGTGCACTAATTGTGTCCCTTATAGGTTATAAACAATAGCTGATTTTCAAAATCGGTATACTTGTCAATTCAATACTACCGTTGCATACACATCTGCACTTACATGTTTACAGTTACGCGTAATATTACCATCGTAAACCTGATTTCGTATATTCACTTGATTACATGCAAAAAGCTAAAAAGCGAACCTTTGAAGCACAGTATCCCGAAAACCATTGATTTTTGGACTTTATGTCCATTGAGACTTTTGATCAGGAGGTCATAAAGAATAACATACTACAGTTTCAGCAAATTTGGCCAAGAACCAAATTCCACTAATTTGGTGCGGGGTCCTTTCATTTTCTTTTCACCTTATGTTCTTCCTCTATCAGAGATTTTTGAGCGATAACTTCTTAAGGAAGCATTTTTCGATCCATGTTTATAGGAAATTTTTTGTTCAGAATAAAATTTCCTATAAAATCTCAAAGTCTGGCCGGAACGTTCGGGGCCACCCTGTATATATGTATGTAGGTGTTTCCTTTAATTCTTACATCCAAATAACTTTTTCATATTTAATTGTACAACAAATGTTTCAAACAAAAGTTATTTGATTTAAAGGGGAATAGAAGATGACACTGGCTTTTGTGTAAAAGGCATTTCAAGGTTATTTGAAGGTTATTTTTTTAAATGGAATAACTTTAGTTTTTTTTATATAAAATCGATTCCTCACAATATTTACTATAAAAAATTATAAGGGTAGGCTGGTCAAAAAGTGAATAGTTTACGAGATATTTTTTACTTTAATTTGACATAATCTTACATAACCTATGAAATATTTCGTAAAATATTCCTTTTTTGATAATCGTACTTTTATGCACAAAATAATGAGAGAATTCGATTAATGTAAAAAAAATACAATTGTTTTTAAGAAAAAGCATGTAGTTGGCTAATTGTAAATTACATGCTTTTTTTAAAAACTAAGTATATGTGTTTTCTTTACAACAATCGATTCCTCTTATTATTTTGTGCATAAAAGTATTAAGCTATTAAAGGGATGCTGCCGTAGTTTTGTTTTATTGACTGTAAGTTAGGTTCATTTTTGATTGAATATACAGATTGAAAAATCCTCCACAATAAAAGTACTGATAATAATAAATGGGAAGCGCTGTCCGGCAACTAATTTTTGCTGTTTCATGCCTCGACATCGATTCCGCACGCAAATATACATACATAATTAATTCAAGTACGAATCTTTTGATACAGGCTTTTTATCTCATTTTTATTACTTCTGTGTTATTCTTTCATGCCATCTCTATTGAGAGCGCCATATTTTGTGCACAAATAAACTGCAGAATTTTTATATTAAATAAGTATTGTTATGAGCTGATGCAAGAAGCCGATAAAAACTAATTTTCTAACTTTTATTGTTTTTTAATACGAAGTTTCAGCGCTCCTCGATCATTATTATCAGTACTTTAATTGTGGAGGAATTTTTAATCTGTATAGCCAATAAAAAGAAAAGCCCTTGAACTCAAAGTCGGTAAAACAGTCATGGTCAGCATCCCGTTAAAGTAAGATTATTGGAAAACTGATATTTTATGAAATATTTCATAGTTTGCGTAAAATTATGTTAAATTCAAATATCTATTTAGAATATATTTCGAACAATCAATTTATATAAAAAAATATGGTAATTATTAAAAAATATGGTAGTTCCATTAAAAATATTTACGATGATCGTGCTATAAGCCCAAAATTAGGGTTGGAAAAAAACTTGTTTTTTTTTTCATTTTAAACAATAATATTGATTTTTTAATTTAAAACATGTTTTCTTTGTTTTAAACATGTTTTTAAGTAAAGTAAGAAAAAAACACGTTTTAAACAAAAAAAAACAAGTAAAAAACACTTGATAGCTTTGATCTGTGTAAATAGCGTAGAAACAGTTTCAAAATTAATAACAAAAGCACTCAATAAAAAGATTGATAAAACTAAGATTGAAACTAGCAACTAAGGCTATATTATAATTTGTGATCTTTTAAATAAGGTTTTTTTAGTTGAGTAATAATTGTGTGATTAATATATATTAAATTATATGTATATACAATCAATTATTACTCAACTAAAAAAAGTTATTTAAAAGATCACAAATTAAAACATATGATTATTTATTATTTCAATTATTTGAAAAAGAAACTGTAAAGAAAACAAGCAAATATAAATATATATATTGAACATATATTCTTTATTACTTTATTTTATTTTGAGTTTTTCTTACTTAAATGTTTATTTTTTAGTCAAAGAAATGATATTATTTTATTTTTATTATTTGCAATGTAATAGATAAAATTTCAAAGTCAAATGCAATATGTTATAATTTAGTTTTTTTTTATAGTTTATGTATAGATTATGTTCAGTAGTTCAAAAATATCTATATGTAATATGTAACATAAATTATAATTATAAATATTATAAATATATAATATATAAATAAAAACTAAAAACACAAACAAGAACTCTTTTGCAACATGCATGTCTATTAGTTTTTGTTTGTTTTTATTTTTCTTTACAGTTTCTTTTCCAAATAATTGAAATAATAAATAATCATATGTTTTAATTGCAATGTTTTAAACAGTTGTTTAAAACTGTTTAAAACAAAAATGTTTAAAACAATGTCTACTGTTTAGAACAAGTTTTAATCAAACTGTTTTAAACATATTGTTTAAAACATAACAACCTTGCCTAAAATATATTAATTCGGATTAATTTGTCAATTCTATTATCGACATTGTAAAAGATGGAATATAATATTAACGTAATATATCAATCACTAATGCCATCTTATGCTAAAAATTGTAAAAGAATAATATGTTTAAAAAAATAAATGTGACGAATTCTTAACATGTCTTGATATGAAAATTAATAAAAAATAGGAAAGTCCTATTTTTTCTTCTTCTTCATGGTTTAGTGGCCTATATAAACCAGACTTGGCTTTTCCTTGCCAGCCATAAGTTCTGATAAGGTCCACAGTAGACCAAGAAGGAAAAAATTTTTTTCAAACAAAACACGTCTGAACAAGTTGACGGACGCCAACGGACTTTTAGTGCTATTTTTTAAATATTATTTAAAAAAAAAATTTTTATTAAGTTTATTTATCCATACAAATAAAATTTATTGTATAATAGAATAAATTTTTTATATGTATTATATTTTATATGTTAACATAAAAATGTCTTTAAATTTTATGTAATGCATTTTGGTAAAATATCAGTCATTAATTATTGTTTGTTATGTAGTTATCAATTATTAAATATCATGCAAATATATTGTATGCAAATTGCTTACCTGCAAAGACTATATTGACACCAAGGGCTTGTGTAAACCGCAGATAGGTCCGTCCAAGTTCATAAACACAAATGTGTAGAATATCACTGATGTCAATAAGCATAATAGGATGAAGAACTATATAAATTGTTAAGAATTTATATTGTCTTTATATTCTTTTTCTATATGCCTTTAAATACGTTTCATATATATATATGTATTATATATACAAGATGTCAGTTAAAGTGTTACAAATTTATATCTTTGTTTATAGTACAAAGTAGAAGCAAAGTATTTTAGAGAAAAATGTTTCATACAAGTTATAGAATTTCAAGAAGAGAAAGAGAAGTTGGCGTTATTAACTTTTCCAAAAGAGTGATTTTCAAGATCATTTGGTCATTTGTTTTTTAGTCTAAATTTTTTTTATAAAATCGATTCTTTACAATTTTTAGCATAAAAAGTTATAAGGGTAAGATAATCAAAAAGTAAAGTTTATGAGATATTTTATACTTTAATTTGACATAATCTCACATAAACCATAAAATATCTCGTAAAATTTTATTTTCGTCAATCTTATCTCAATACTTTTATGTAAATATGTAGCTGCTAGATGCAAATTACATACTTCTTCTTGAAAACAGCTGTTTTCTATACACTAATTTCGTTATTTTGTACATGCTATTTTAAAAAATAAATTTTAAAATCTTTAAAATTGCTTTGTTGGAAAAAGTAATGCCAACTTTTTTTCTTCTTGAAATCCTATAAGTTTTGCACAATATTTTTCTCAAAAATGTTTGTTTCCAAGATACAAGTTTGTAACACTTTAACTAATATACCTAGTATATTTTATATTTGTATTCTATATATGATTTAATAAACAAATTCAATTGTGCATTAATAAAAATTAACTGTGCACTAAAGACAATTTATACAAACACAGTAAAAATAGAAGAAAAGCATTAAGAGTTGTCTTAATCTTTTTGAATTATTGTAAATGTAAAGGATACGTGTATTGGTTCCATGTCGACAAGTAATATAAACACAGGCAGCCTGGTTATGCACCTGTTTTCTTCCACGTGTTAAACGACGATCTAAAGCCATTTTATAAAATGTTACAGACATATTGATATCATTCTCGTCTAAGCTAAAATAAAAATTTTACATTTATGAAAAATAATAAACACAGCCCATTTCATTGTGTGCACATCATAAGGACAAAAATTTTTTACCCTAGCTGCATTCCAAGATGTATTATACCTTTCCTTGCATTTTCTATAGTATTCTTTCTAGACTCTTTTTCATTGAAATAACCTGAAAAAATAGAAAAAATTTAGTTGGCACTTTTACATTATAAGTTTCAAAGGAAGAAAGAAAGAATATAAAAATTACTTACGTGCACCAAAATTTGTAGCACCACCTGTGCTATCATTAGGGACGAAGTATTTAGGCATTACTTTACCAGACGATGATTCTTCAAAAGTTGGTTGACTAACAATAACTGAATCCTCTAATACAAAACCACATTCCATACAATAGCATCTCCACGTGCAGGATCGGTCTCAATATTTGTAGATCCACAACTACGACACTTGTTTCCAGACATCTATTGCAATAATACAAACATATACATAATATTTTTAAATTATTTATTTAATTTTATTTATTATAAGTAATTTATTACGAAAAGATGATGGTAAAAATACTAATAAGTATAAAAATAATAAATATAAATCAAATTTTCTTCATATATATATATATATATATTTTTTTTTTTTCATAATTAATCACTTCTAATAAAATCAAATAAATAATTAAAAAAAATATATATATATTTTAAATTATTTATTTGATTTTATTTATTAGAAGTGATTTAGTACGAAATAAAAAAAATATATATATGTGTGTGTATATATATATATATATATGAAGAAAATCTGATTTATTTTATTATTTTTACACACACACACACACACATATATATATATATATATTTATATATATATATATATATATATAAATTTGATATTTTTTATTAACTTGTATGTTACATTAGAATATACGTGTTGTAATAGAATTAAATAAATTATAATATAAAAATTAATAGAACTAATTAATTTTTGTGAAAAATTTAGAAATATAAAATCAATATGTATTAAATCTGAATTAAATAAACAAATATGTTTGATTGTATTATATACCTTTGATATTATGTTTATTTTCACTGTAATAACCAAACTCGTAGAGTTATCTACTTATAATATTGTAAAAATATTATCATACACCTTAGATCGTAAATAAATCATGTAATTTCAAAGTATGTACGCATTAAACAATTAAGTTTTTTAATCTGTGCTAAATATGTAGCTACTATGTAGTCTAAATCGAAGAACACAATCGAAAACTTTTATTATTCTTTATTCTATATATATTTTCTTTATAATAGTTAGAGCATAAACATGAAATTGTGTAGAGCGCTCTCTCCTATTCGTGATTCATTCTGGATGCGTAAGGGTGCGATTACATGGACGCGCGGAAACGCGGAAACGCGGAAGAGAAAGTAACTAAACTTTACTAGAGTCAGAGAGAAGAATGAGAGAGGCCACGCCGCCGTTTTTCGTCAAACGCTTTTTCTAGGCTGCTCACTAGCGTCACGTACATCCATTTTACGAGCGTCTGGAACTACATGGCCACATCCACTTTCGATGTCGGTAAAAGAGCCAAATTTAGTTCATGTCCGTGCTACATCCACAATTGATAGACCAGAATACGACGAAGATCAGAGTTCAAGACCATATGTTTTCTTTTTTTTTTTTTTTTTTTTCAGAATTGTAAATGAATAAAAAATAAGAAATAATAAATCAATTGTATTTATAAAATATTTTCAATAATTTTATATTCATTTACAAAAATAACATCCCTGAAAATTAAATTGATTGCACAAAAAATATAAAAATAAGAAAATAAATATTGAAAATAAAATAAATATATTTGTATAAAAATAACAAAAAATTAACATAATATTATAAAATAAAAATAATAAAAAAAATAAAACTTATGGAAAATAATTTATCATAAAAAAAATTTCTAATAATATATATTTAAATAAAATTAAATGAATAATTAAATATACTTTGAACTTTAAATTATACAAAAATTGTTATATAATATAATATATGTATATTAATATTTTTTATTTAATACATATACCACGTGTACAAAAATGTATATATATATATATATATAAGGTGTCCCGGATTTTGCGAATTAAAGTACCATAAAAAGAAAGTTTCTCGAAAAAGTAAATTAAAAAAATTTTTACCATTTTTCATTCCAAACAGTATTTTTTGAGGTAAAAAGATTTAAAATTGGCCAATTACAGAATACGATTAAACGGACGCCTATCCGTGAGTCGATTATGTTATATCCTAATAGCACAACATATCCGAAAGATATTCAGAGGATATCCAGAGGACATTCGAACATCCTCAGAATGTTCTCTGAACGTTTTTAGGATATGTGTGCTGTTTGGGTAGTGACCATGCACTTTACGCACTTCAAGTGTCCATTAAATCGTAATCTATAATTGGCCAATTTAAAATTTTTTTACCTCAAAAATTTTATTGTTTAGAATAAGAAATAGCTTAAACTTTTTAATTTATTTTAAAGAACTTTTTTGCTATACTATTTTGACTCGCGAATTTCGGAATCCTGTATATATCAGTTTTTTTTTTGTAGGAAGGGAAAAATGCATTATGCATTTCCCATCGGCCGTCCGACGGGGGTATGTGGGACTCTCACCCACTAAAAAACCCTCCGCTCTAAAAAAAAAGCTGTAATTAAAAGTATTCATTATTATAAAACATATATTTTGTGAAAAAAGATATTGTTAAATAATTTGTATTTAATCATATTTACTATGTTAACGTGGAACGTATGTTTAAAAAAATTAATAATATATTGTAATTAAAGATTTAGGTACATATGTGTATATGTATTTTAGTTGGCATTTAGATATGCATGACGTAAAGATTGCAATCACAGTTGAAATAATTACATAAATCGCTCAAACTAACAGGTCTTATCACGGGAAATCTACATATAATATAGATTTTCTATAACTAAAAGAATCAGTTATATATTTTGATGTCTTTTGTTATCTATTTCTGTTAAGGCGTCTTATTATTGTAAGTGATTTGTCAAAATCACTTACTGTATACTATATTATTAACGGTATTCATATGTATCTTCTATGATTATATTAGAATACCGTATGCCAACAAATACATATACGATAGATTTCATTTATTGTACCGTGTTACTGTACTTTCTTAAAATTTTATTATTATATATATCTCGTGTTATATGTCATTAGTAATCAGAAAATACATGATTTTACAATTTCTTAGCATGATTGCATAAAAATATTTTATTTAGTCCGTGATTAAACCTGCTAGTTAACGATTTATGTAATTTGTTTCAACTGTGATTGCAATCTTCTAAGAAATTGAAAAATTCATGCTTATTTTTCTCATTACAGGAAAATAATACTCATTACTAAATGTAACATGATTTGCAAACATATTTTAATGAATGTAATTTCATGATACACAGTATAAATATTTCTTTTCAATGACAAAATTATGCAAGATATATATAACAATAAAAAAATGAAGAAATTTTTTTCAAAATTACAAAATAAAGAAATTATATTATTTTATAGAAAATACTCATATTAAAAAATAATTCTTTTTCTAGATAATTTTTACTACGTTCCACGTTATTTTATGTTTTTTCTATTCCTTGCATTAATTTTTTTAAATATTAAAATTAATAAATATTAATATATTATTATATATATAAAATAATATAAGATGTATATATTAATATTAATTACTATTAATTAATAATAAAATAATATAAAATAAATATAAATATAAAATATTTAATAAATAAATGTATAAAATATTTATAAAATTTATTAAATAAATTTTATATAAAATTCTTAAATATTTTTTTTTTAATGAATTATTAATAATGATATTATTTTAGACCTTTGTGGTTTTTCTTTCTTCATATCATTTTTTTCTTATTTGTAATTAATATAATAGTGCTCAAGATGATCTTACATTTAGTATCCTTTATTTTTTACTTTTCTTATATATACTTTTATTTATTTATAAATCTCTTAACTTTTTTGTATGATGCACTAGCTACTTTGGCAGTACGATTGTTATATCTCGTACGGGAATATATTTTTACAGTAATCATGTATTTTAATGCTTGCATCCGATGATTATAACATTCGTTATTTTTATCTAACCAATCTGGATGAATTTGATTCGTTGCATGTACACATTCCGTCACTATTTTTTCAAGCATCTGTGTGGATGACCAATGGCTTTGCCATGTACAATTAAACGCCATTAATTGCGTTTTAGTAATATTTGTGTATAGAGTTGTTGGTCGTACTAATTTTGTTACTGTTGGAGCATCTTCATCTGTATTTGGATATTCACGAAATTCTATATATTTTTCATTTGCTGCAGGTTCATCCATTGGTGTTTTCATCATTGCGTTGCGGCAATCGTCACAGTTACTTTTAGCAATACTTCGCCGTGCCACAAATCCGGCAAAAAATGCAATGGCATTTTCATCGTAATTGCTATCAATCGGATTTATATTATCAATTTGTTCGATATTATATTCTTCGAGAAGAATTCTAACATCTTCGTCAAGCAATTCACTTTCATGTTCAATATATTCTACAGTCGCATTGCTCGTATTCATGACATTTTCTATTGTCTTAACAAGTCGACTTGGTCGATTAATAAGAGTTACACCTTCTGTACATTGAACATTGCCCTTGTCGCTAGTCTGAATATATCCTGTGGAAAGTATATGTCTGATAGATAATCGGATCATTCTTGCGGTTGGATTTGGATTAAAACCTCCGCGTTGTCTCAATTTAGAAAACAAATGTTCGACAGAATCCTGATTACACAATCCTGTCGCAAGTTCAAATCCTTCGTATTGATTTGCAAGTTTTTTATAAGTTGCAAGAATAGCTCGTATAGTTAATGGAAAACCTTTGAAACAAGGAATTTGAACTAGATTTTCCGCCGATTTTGACCATCTTGAGCACCATTCGATAGAATCTGTTAACAGATTTTCAATATCTGAATTTCTGAAGGATAATGGTCGTTTTCCGCCAAATGTAATATTAAGGCTGTAACTGTTACAAGCATCAATAATATTATTTAAGCGTGTTGCAAAGTCAGCTGTAGCTTCCCACGTACTCGTATTTAATTCTTTTGCATTACCAGCTGTTCTTATTGCAGCTGCAAATGTGTGACTAAATAATTGAAAAGCTCTTTTAACATTCATCGCTTCGAAATTATTTGGACGAATATGTGCTTCTGTTATATGGGATAATAAATTTGAGCCTCCTTTTGTGGCATTGTCAATATACCAAGTCATTTCAAAATCTGAATACGATGCGATTATTTTTCCATCACAATAAATGTTTTTGTGCGTTCTAAGAAAACTTGCCAATCTTTTTACCAGATGAGGAAAATCAAAAGATGCGTTATATTTTTTTCCATTATGTATAAAACATGGCCTCTGTGCATCAATACCGAGTTCACTATACGCACTTTGATTACATGTGCCTTGATCACATGTTAAAAGTTGCACATCAGCACCCGTTGTACTCAATCTGTCTAAACATTCTTTTAATAATATTATTATTTCTTCTGCTTTCATGCATTTTCCCGGAAGGAAATATGCTAAAGGCTGTCGCCATGGGTGACGCGCATTTAAACTGTCTAGGCAAAAGACAAATACGCATTTAGATCTTTCTGATTTTCTTCCTAGAGGACCAAGATCGACAAGACCTTCTATTTCATCTAATTTTTGCGAATATTCTTCATAAGGTTTTATGGCCATTTCGTCCCATTTTAAGGCACACACTCTTTCCTCTACTGGTAAATAAGAAATCTTTTCCTTTAATTTTTGAAAAATAAAATCACAAAATCCTGGCCGTACGTCATATTCTTCCAGCCATCTTCTAATAGTTCGTTGCCCTGGAAAATTGCAACCTGCTTTTCTTAAGCGGCAGAAAGCAGCAGGTGAATAATAATATAGTTGTCTTGACAGATTTTTCTCTTCTTCTGTATATGCTGCATTGCGTTTATGCAGTTGCAAATTTATCATCGCCTTCGCAACAGGATTTAGATCTTGTTCGTCTACCAATTTGTTTAATATTATTTTCTTTTGTTTATCTTTTTTTGACGTTTTACGTTTTTGTGGAATATGACGTAAACGATATTTCAGATATCTTACTTGTCTTCGCAATCGTATATTTTCAGATTTTAGATATTTAACTTTTGCACATAACTTATGTATTATTTCATTTTTTGTATTTGTTTCTGTACTATTTTTAGTACTT